CCATTGGCCTTCTTGGCAGCCAGGGCACACTGCTGGCTCATGGTTAACCTGTCATCCACCAGGACACCCAGGTCCCTCTCTGCAGAGCTGCTCTCCAGCAGGTCTGCCCCAAGCCTGTACTGATGCATGGGGTTGTTCCTCCCCAGGTGCAGCACCCTGCATTTGCCTTTGTTGAACCTCATCAGGTTCCTCTCTGCCCAATTTTCCAGCCTGTCCAGGTCACGCTGAATGGCAGTTCAGCCTTCCGGTGTGTCTGCCACACCTCCCAGTTTGGTGTCAAATATTAAGCTACACGTCAAAACTTGGGCTCCACACTAAAGGCCAGCTCTGCAAGCTGTTTAGCCTATCTGGGAGGTACCTAGAGCTTGACATGGAAGAGCCGGACAATGGAAGCCCTGACAAATTCATCCACCAACACCCAGGTAAGATTTCAAATTGGGAATAGACGAAAACCTCAGGGAAAGAAACATCATATAGTGCCTGTCTGTGAAAGTCCACTTGGATTTAGCTAAGCAGCCCATCTTTGAAGCACAGCAGTTCTTGTGCAGTCTGTATAGGCTTTGACTTCAGTCTCAAAAAGTCTCAGGTTTGATCATGTCTCTGGTTTCCAGTCACCTTATGCAAGCCCACCCCTTTATCTCCCTCCCCATCCCTTCCCTCCATCCACTCCACATTCCAGCTCAGTTTTTGCCCTCTGCCCCCCCCAGCCTCAACCTCCACTGCAGCCCCCATCTCCTGGGGTGGATTTTTCATGCTCCACGACATCACCCATGTCTCTAGCAGACAGCTTCCCTCTCGGGACTGCAGCAGCACCCCAGGGGAGTCACCAGAGCACAGGGAAAACAGGCAGCCTTTTGCCTCTTCAGGTATAGGCACGGTGTGGGCTGCAGTCTTTCAGAGCACTTTTGGCCTCGAACTCTCCCCTAAACAGCTGCTTCCTCTACAGCCACCCAACTGTTCAGTCCTATTTTCAATGGGAAATATTGCTTCTCAGAGTCCCTGAAAAATCCACCCTGTCACTTTCTATTGTTTGAAGTCAG